TAATGGGGAAGTGGAGATTTGGACTATATGGGTCGGACGATTGGTGATGGGCTAATGTTTTGTTGGGAAAAGCTGTGGGTAAATGTTAAGAGTGGTGGTTGAGAGAGATTCTGGGTTTGGCATTGGATGCGACAAAGGCATGGTCTGTAACTACTAGTGACTCGTGATGTTTGAATTCGTTAATTGCAAAAGAAAATTATGCGTTGCATTTGCCGTAAAAAATTATGTTTTAAGAGAAGGTTGAGCTGTTATTAGCCACATTTGGCACTTAAAACAGTTTGCTTATTACCACTGAGATTGTGACACTTGAACAGTTTGCATACAACTTATTCGCTAAACACATTTTATCTTTTAAATATATAATTTTATTGAAAAATATGATGGGTCGATATTTCATATTTGATCTGTCAACAGATTTTTTTGTAAAAGAAAATTTTTAGAATGATTGAAAATAAATTTAAGGAAGAATAAAACATTGATGGTATGTGTCATCAAAGAGGGCATTTGGTCTAGTGGTATGATTCTCGCTTTGGGTGCGAGAGGTCCCGAGTTCGATTCTCGGAATGCCCCTTTTTCATATTTCGCCCCTTTTTCATTTTTGGACCTTGCTCAAGCCTCAAGGGCATTTATTTATGTCGATTCATAAATCAAAAATCCTCTAAAATATCATCAAATTCGCACCGCTACCCTTATCCTCCTTATCTTCTTTTTTCATCTTCACCGTTCTCTCTCTACTCCACTCTCTCGCTCACAAAATCAGTATGGCGTCGACGCTGTCCTCTGCTATTCTGCGCCCTCCCTCCACTTCCTCCGCCGCTTATCCTCCTCTCCCCTCCGCCACATTCACCTCACACAACCTCCAATTCCCCCTCATATCCTCCAACAGTGCCCTCCGCCGCCGCTCGCCCTCCCTCCGTCCGCTCGCCGCCGTCGACGCCCCCGAGAAGGTCGTCCAGCTCGGCGACGAGATCTCGAGCCTGACCCTCGCCGACGCCCAGAAGCTCGTCGAGTACCTCCAGGACAAGCTCGGCGTCTCGGCCGCGTCCTTCGCGCCGGTGGCCGCAGTCGCCGCCGCTCCGGGCGCGGCGGAGGCCGCCGCACCCGTGGAGGAGCAGACGGAGTTCGACGTGGTCATAGAGGACGTGCCGAGCAACGCGAGAATACCCACAATTAAGGTGGTTAGAGCTTTGACCAGTTTGGCTTTGAAGGAGGCGAAGGAGTTGATTGAGGGGCTGCCGAAGAAATTCAAGGCGGCTGTGTCCAAAGAGGAGGCCGACCAAGCCAAGAAGCAGCTCGAGGAAGCCGGTGCCAAGGTCGCCATTGTTTGAGATTCACGGCAATACAAGAGGTGTGAAAAAACACATTGCAATTGGAAATTGAATGCGTTTTTGTTCTATTGTGAAGCTTTAATCAATTTTTAGCCTGCGATTTGTGCTTTGGTATTTCATTATTTTGGCAAAGTATCAAACAAGTATAGAGGTTCCCAACCAAATTATATGTATGGTAAACTTGCGCTTAAATGATTTTCGCATCCAAAACACTACTTTAGAAAATAATTGGGAATTTTCTGATGGAGCGTGTGTCAGATGACAATTTTGTTATATGACTCTAGATATGGGTAAACAACCAAGCCCATAGGTAATACCAATGTTCATAATAAGTTTTGGACCTAAAGAATTTTTTATTTTTATTTTTATATTGTAAATCAGAACATGTAATATTCATTTATCACAATTCACAACCTCTACTTTATGGCATCCACGTGCCTTAATATTCATTCAATCACAATTTACACTCTAACTTATCCACGTCATCTTTCCACTAAACATTTCTCCATTACCCACATTCAATCATTCATTTAAATACAAATATATAGGACCCATTACTCACTCATTTTTTTTGGTCGAAACGATAGGGGAATATATAACCTCACAAAGGAACAAAGTTCAAGTACAGAGCGCGAAGAAAATTCGAATAGAAACATAAAAAATGATGGACACGCTAGAAAGCGTCCTAGAAACCCACCTGCGGGTATGAACTAAGACAAATAAGCTACCAAATAAACAGAAATGGGATCACAATCACTGCACAAGCCTAGTTATGACTCCATTTTGTGAACCTAAACAGAAAAATAAATAGAACTAAGCATACTAGAAGCATATTCAAACTACAACAATGACATCAAGCAACAGAGGGATTATACCCTGGAGAATTCCAGCCATTCTGAAGTGGCACATCTGATTAGCACTTGTACAGGAACATCTGTATCTTCAAACAACCATAAGTTCCTGGATCGCCAAAGCCACCATAGCAAATATGTGGTCAGTTGGATCCTTTCCTCCACAACATCTAGCTTCTCAATGGTGCATATCTGTCTCCACCAAGAGCAGAAACTGATACCGGGGTCTCTTGTTCGCCTATATTTTAAAGCTCGACCGCAAGTGTACGGCTTCGCTCGTAGTATGTGGCAAGCAATGTCGTATCCAATAGACTAAATAACTAATATATCAAGTACCAGATTATGATAGTGTCAACTTTATTTAGACGATCAAATATGAGATGGATTAACTAAACTAAAAGAATATAATCAAAGGAAATAAAGCAAAAATAAAGAACTAGCTAGAAAAACACGTAAGAAAATATATGAGAATGATAGATTTTAAGACTTTGGTTTCAATTAACAGCTGAGTTCCTTCAAAAATATCACAACCAATGTTTTCTTTATTTCCCCTAAAAGATGATCACAAATTTAGCTTATCGTCCCTCTCGAGATCGACCAAACCGTAGATTAAATTACATATATTAGCGTCTCTACTCAACACATGCAATTCAACTTCAAATTAATTAAAAAATCTAATATCCTCACAACGACATACTAATCTCTCGATTCAAGCAAATAAATTGTGTCAAATGTCAAAGGCCTAATATTGAACTCATCTCTCGAGTTATGAACAATATTGTCAAACATGTAAAAGCATTGATCAAGTGCTAAACATGAAATAAGAACAAAATATTTGAATAGGGTTCAAAAGAAAACATTCAATTATAATAATTCATCTAAAATCCCAACATATTAATCTACTACCAAGTCCTAGAATCAAATAAACTAGCCACTCATATTTGAATTCAAATACATAGACATATTAGAAATCGGCATGACAATAAAAGTTCAAAAGGAAGAAGAAAGAAAAACTAGGAATCTCGTCGATCTTTCAATCTTCTTGATCCTTTTGTAGTTGGATCTTCTTTTGCTTCCCAATTGCTTCCCTTGCGTGTTCTAGGGCTCCTCTCTTGTGTATCTCACGTTCCTTCTCTCAAAATAGGGTGAATATGTCTTTTATAATGTCCAAAACCCTTCTCCTTTTCAAAATAGGCACAAAATATAAACCAGCCTGCGCGCGCGACACGACCATTTTGCCCGTGTCACCGTCCGTGTCGCAGCCCGTGTCAGGTCCCTGGGCTTCGAATTCTCTCTATTGAGGTGACACGGGCATCATGCCCGTGTCAGCTCTGCACACTCTTTTTCTTGCTTGTTTCACTCGTTTCTTCTATTTTTTTCATCCGTGCATGAATCTTTCATCTTCCCGGGGGTCTTAGGTACTCACGATGCGCCTCCAATAGCCACGAGCTCTACAAATATGTGAAAATATCTACAAAACAAGCACGTGTAATACCTTTCCGCGCCGCCCTGCCAAGCGCCGAGCTGCCGAGCTCATGTGGTCATCAACCAATTTTTGCACCTTTCTCTTGCCTTTTGCCTACTTCTCACCATCTCTTTATTCTTGAATTTTTAATGAATGCACCTAGGCTTATGTGCTTGGCTACCCATCACCTCCTCACATGCTTTCACCTACCCACCATCTTGAATGTGACATAAAGCAACTTGGTCCCCAAGCTTCATCTTCCTTAGATGTGTTGAACAACTTTTGTGACTTTTAACATGTAACGATAAAAACTCGCTTTGTCGTATGCCTTTGTAAGCTCAATGCATCGTGTTTTTCTTTTGTATCTTTTGTGAGCCGACTTCACTTACTGATATTTAACATCATGTTCTTAATGCAAGGTCTACATATCGCCGTTACTTGTTTCAAACGCCGCATACTTACACAATTCATTATTGCATAAGTAATCATATTTTCTCTTTCGTGACGAGATTCATTCACCAAATCTTGCAAATACTTAGCATCTTGACAATGGGCTTTTGCACCAACACAATTATTGCTAAGTGCTTCAAGACCCGTATACACTTCACACGGCGGCCCTGCCAAGTCTTAGCTGGAACTTAACCGGCTTAGACCCTACGGTGGTCGTCGTCGAGCCCCGTGAGATACAATTAAGACTTACAGGCAAGATTGACATGCTTGCGCCCTACAAAGGTCGTCGTATAGCTCCGCAAGCTTAGATGAGACTGACAGGCTTGTGCCCTACAGAGGTCATCGCCTAGCTCCGCGAGCTTAGGTGAGACTAACAGGTAAGGTCGCCCTACAGAGGTCGTCGCCTAGCTCCGCGAGCTTAGGTGAGACTGACAGGCTTGCGCCCTACAGAGGTCATTGCCTAGCTCCGCAAGCTTAAGCGAGACTAACAGGCTGGCGCCCTACAGAGGTCGTCGCCTAGCTCCGCGAGCTTAAGCGAGACTGACAGGCGTGTGCCCTACGAAGGTCGTCGTCTAGCTCCGCGAACATAGGGGAACAGGCTTGTGCCCTACAGAGGTCGCCGCCAAGCCCCGCGAGCTTAAGCGAGACTAACAGGCTTGCGCCCTACAGAGGTCATCACCTAGCTCTGCGAGCTTAAGCGAGACTAACAGGCTTGCGCCCTACAGAGGTCGTCGCCAAACTCCGCGAGCTTAAGCGAGACTAACAGGCTTGCGCCCTACAGAGGTCATCGCCTAGCTCCACGAGCTTAAGCGAGACTCACAGGCTTGCGCCCTACAGAGGTCGTCGCCTAGCTCCGCGAGCTTAGGTGAGACTAACAGGCTTTCGCCCTCATACATTCCACACAAGAAAATAATCAAGCTAATAAAACTTCAAATGCAATCTTATTACTCATCTTGCCGAAAGATCATAAAAACAAACGAAAGCAATTAAAATGACATATCTCCAGCT